CCTGCCAACAAAAGTGCGTATAGTCAAGGCTATGGTTTTCCCAGTAGCAATGTATGGCTGTGAAAGTTGGACCATAAGGAAGGCTGAGTGTCGAAGAATTGAGGCCTTTGAATTGTGGTGCTGAAGGAGACTCTTGCGAGTCCCTTGGACCGCAAGGCAATCAAACTGGTCAGTCCTAGAGGAGATCAACCCTGACTGCTCTTTAGAAGACCAGATCCTGAAGATGAAATTCAAATACTTTGGCCACCTAATGAGAAGGAACGACTCATTGGAGAAGTCCCTGATGCCGGGAATGATTGACAGCAAAAGGAGAAGGGGACAGCAGAGGATGAGGTGGCTAGATGGAGTCACTTAAGCAGTTGGTGTGAGCTTAAGTGGACTCCGGGGGGTGGTGGAAGACAGAAAGGCCTGGAGTAATGTTGTCCATGGGGTCGCGATGGGTCGGACACGACTTCACATCTAACGACAACAACCATGTTCTTATGCATTGTGCTTGGCATAATCATGCCCATACCTTCCTACTCTCAAAAAACATGCCATCTACCTCTTGCCCATCATTCCCATGAAGAAAAACCCAGAAAGCTAGCTTCTAAATGAGCACTCAAATGTCATAATTATTTCTCAAGATACTGGTCTCAGAAGTGGTGAGCAGAATGGGCTTACCAGTCAGTTTGAAGCTGTGTCACCATCTGGAAATCAGACCACAGGGTAAAATGACCCATAAATACAAGATTGAGACAAGGCCAGCTCTGGTATAATTTTTGCACATTCCTAGGCCAGCCCTTTGATTATTAGTATTTAAGTCTCTTTGTTACTAAACCCAAAATGTCTGAAAGCCTAGCACTAACCAAGGTATGCCATATAAACCAAAATCTCTCAGACCAACTCTCCAGAGCCTACAAATTAAATACCTCCAGTATCATTTTTAAATAAAGCATTTTATGTGGCATTTTTCCAGTTGATAATCAAATGACACTATTATTCAGACTTACTAGATTTGCAAATTTACAAGTTTTCACAAGTCAGCTGGGTCCCTTCCTCAGGAAATAACTTGAAGGCTTTTTTTTCTTGTGTTGACATAAAGAACTTGGTTGTCCTTAAATCCTTGTGAATGTACTTGCCTTATAGTTTGACAGCATTAAATCAACACCCTTATGGGGACTGTAATGCAATAAAAAGAGAAACTGTTCAATATAGCTTCCAGTTACTTTAGGATTAGATTTGAAGAGACTGGAATGTGCACAATAAAACCCATACAAGATTTGAGTTCCATGTAGTGTGGGTTGTGGTAGTATTTAAAAACCTCTCTATATCCCCAGAGGGCATATCATAGTATATAATGAAAATATTTGGTATGCATTTAGATTTTATAATATCAAATTGTGAAGTATAGATTTATAAATATTATATTTGTATGTTTGTGCTAGTAATTGTCAGATACAACTTTTTTTGCAGGGGTTGGGTACATACCTTTGCTGAAATGACTAATTTGTGTTTGGCACAGACTGTGGAATCAGTAGAAATATGTACCATTCTTAGGAACCCTCTAAATATAAAAGAGGTGTTTTTTTTAGAATAGTCAAGATCTTGACCCCCTTATCTCTTTGCTTTTATATCCTGTGCCCTTACACACCTGTGACCTTTGCTTATCTACATTAGCCAGGGGGCTCCTGCATCTTTCACCCTTGCTATCCTTTGTGGTTGCACAGCTTTTGGAATACCTGTATGATTCCACCTCTCATGTCCTTTAGATCCCTCCTCATTTTATCTGGGGCTTCTAGCTAGCCCCTTAGTTCTCACACCTGCAGTAACAGCCTCAATACATGTAACTGGACCAAGGAAAAAACTGGTTCCACATTTACCCCTGCCTCAAAACATCTTGAGGCAGTAACTTCACAAGGGCAGAAAAATAGTGGAGATCTGATGCAAAATCTGGGGAATTTGCTAAGAAATTTGTATAGCTAAGAAATACAGCTATAAGAAATATAGCTAAGAAATTTGTCCCAGACACAAAAGGGAAAGAGGGGAAGAATTTACAGTATAGAGGAAGCAAGTGGTCCTGGGAAAGGAAAGGCTCTTTCTTTGGACCTCCTGCAAGCCGGCTTGTGCTGATTGAGTGCTCTAATTGGCCACAGGACATTATGTTCACTCCTTACCTTTTTCCTGCTTTCAAGAAAAAGGAGGGGGAAAAAAGGTAAATTCTGATGTTCAGGGCATTAAGATTTGCCCCAATATTCATGGTGAGCGAAGGTAGCTTAAAAAGTTATTAAAGTATATGATAATGTTTTATATGGCTGCTAGAAATATTATCAAGTGTGAGATGGTTAATGATGGAATTGTTCAGTGGCAATGGCTTTAATCTTTCTTTAGGTGTCTATGTGTTTTTATTCACATTGAAGGTGAAGAAGTACTCCTTTTCCATATGATACTGGTAGCAAAAATAATGCATGTGAAATTTTGGAAAAGTGAAGAAAAGCCTTGATTGAGAAAATGGTACATGGAGTCACTATCCATTGCATTGTGTAGATAAGCAAGACAATGTGTAATAAGTACACATTGAGGAAATATAAGAGCCATTTAGAACATCTTTGAATTCAAAATAGAGTTCCATGGCTGGTACTCAGTAGAGACAAATGCCAAGTCCTTCAAACCAGAAGCATTGCTGCAAAATGGGGAATACTTGGCTCAATACAGTGGATATGAAGGATCTTGGGGTTTTTGTAGGTCTTAAGCTAAATATGAACCAGCAATGTGATATAGCTGCAAAAAGGGCAAATGCTATTTTGGGCTGCATTAACAGAAGTATCTCTTCCAAAGACTGTGAAATACTGGTTCCCCTATACTTGGCACTAATCAGACCTCACCTGGAGTCCTGTATCCAGTTTTGGGCACCGAAGTTTTAAAAAGATGCAGAAAAGCTAGGGAAAGGGTGTAGAGGAAGTCAACAAGGATGGTTCAGGGACTGGAGGAAAAGGCCTGTGAGGAAAGATTGAGAGAACTAGACATGTTCAGCCCTAAGAAGAGAAGACTGAGGAGTGATATGATAGCACTTGGCAAGTACCTGAAAGGCTATCACAAACAGGAAGGACAAGATCTCTTCTTATTCATTCCATAGTGCAGGACATGGAATAATGGACTTAAGTTTAAAAGAAACCAGATTTTGACCAGACAATGGGAGAAATTTCCTTACTTGTCAGAGTAGCATGACAGTGGAACCTATTACCTGGGAAGTTGTGGGCTCTCTCATTAGAGATATTCAAAATGTGTCTGGACAGTCATCTGAATTGGATGGTGTAACTTTGTCCTGCGATAGCAGGGAGTTGGGCCTGATGGCCTTCTGTCCCCTTCTAAGTCTACTATGATTTTATGAAAATCCTACCCCCTACTATTAATAACATTCAGTATTCAATAATATTTAGATAAATAAGTGTTTTTATTTTATAATTAAAAATGAAAAGGGAAACTTCCGCACAAAAGGGGAAATCTGCACATTTAATTTCTTGGAAATAAAAATGAAGTCCCAGAAAGTGTGGCTGGAGCTTTAAAGTTTCTTCAACAGTCAGTGGAACTACTTTTCCAAATTGGGAAGGTTATACTGGTTGCTTTACTTCAAATTAGACGTTCAAGCTTACTGCATCACTCCTTATAAAAATGTTTAAATATTTGTAACAAACCTTAAAATTCCTCAACAAGAACACCAAGTGTTCATTATGTATTGAACCTTTAATTTCTTTGAAGAGTAAGCATCATGCCATATTTTTATTATAAACCATCCCGAGATGCTAGTGGTGGACAGGTTAGAAAAGCTTTTGGTAAGTAAGTAAGTACATAAATAAATAAAGTCACAAACAGCTTTGAAAAGTCTCTTTGGTTCAAAAAGAAGTCTGTTTTATTCCATTTAAGAAGCACAAATCCAAAATGGTTTGATGAATAGGATTTATTTGTGTGCTATTTGGATATTAATCATAATTATCAAATCAAAATAATGCATCAGTAGTCTAATACCACAATGTTTGGGTTTTTCACTCCTTAACATAAACCTTCAGCATAAGTCCCACTTTAAAACTTTTGACTATATGTATGTACATCTTTTTACTTCTCTTTTACTCTAGCCTTCATCATATATCAATTTTAAGCCTAGCGTTAGTCATATTTGGGTAACTTTGCCACCCCAGACAAAACTGCCTCAGGAAATGAAAATGTTGTACATTGAAAGCCTTTGCTGGACTGAATGTTTTCCCCAAGAGGTTTGAATCTGCATAATGATGGATTTCAGGTTTCAGCTATAAATTAAGTAATTCAATACTTAATTTTCCCTGAAGCAATTCAGAACAATTACATCTACCTAACAGTGCTTGGCCTATTGATCTTTGATTTATATAACAGTAGTTTGGCCTATGAACTTCTTATCAGCATAAACAAGCATTCCTTGGGTATACTTTAAGTTTGCTGGAGGTTTTAGCTTAAACTGCTGGCTTTTGAAGTATCCCATAAAATTATTCTAATGCACATTTTGAGACATTTTTTTCTAGGCATGTTTTGTTTATAGAAAGGAAACTGCAAAAACAAAGAGGCTGAAAATAGAGAACACTTTTTGAAACCCTGAACATCCTAAAAAGACTAGATTGTAGGTCTACTTAATTGTAAATTAAACAACAAACACCTATGCTGTGGAATGATAACAAAGCCAGTGGGCAGAATTCTAGTATCTAAAAGAGGGCTTTTGACAGGGTCAGCTTGTCAGACCAGACTAGGGAAATATATGCTGGGCATACAATTGTAGGGATGTTATTTCATCTGAATCTGGCTTCCTTCTGTGTCAGTCTTTTTCTTGTGTTTTTGGCCTACTCTTTTCCAAAGAAAAGAGAAAAAGTGTGATTCAACAAATGTTTTGGTGTAACCTATCATTGATGAACAGTGGAAAAAGAAAAAGTATTATTAGAATGCATCTAAACAAGCATTGTACTGATTTTTCTTTTCTTTCCACTGAACTCTTTTAGTTGATTTGGAGCATCTGCGGGCAGTAAAAGTCGATAAACACCTTCGATTTTGCCAGGAAAATCATTCTAGCAGCCATTTTGTATCAGCCAAGACGGGTGATTCTGTAAGTAATTTGAATCAAGTTAAGCTCTGTTACAACTGCATTCTCAAAGGCATTTTTCCTGTCTCTAAAGCTGAGTCAAAAGCACTTTAACTATTGGTATCACTTTGTGAACTTAAATTATTTATCACAGGTGTTTAAATGTTATGGCATTTTTGTTCCTCAACACAATATAGACAAGTTGTTTGGTGAGATCGTGGTGTTGAAAAACATATCCTCTTCAGTTTTGACATCTTTAGATTTCTTTTATTAAAGAAAGGTTGGTTTCCAACAGATAGAGATTATGTAATTGTTTTCTTCATTTTATTAGTCATAAGTGAAAGATTACATTCAGAATACTCTTTCCAGATCTTCTTTTAAAACCTCTATGCCTATCCAGTAAGTGCTGAAACTTAATAAACCCTATATTTTCTGAAAAAACATCTGTTTGTTTTTTTCCGGTCTTCTTCTAACATGTATTACCTATTAATCAAAAAGAATTCCACCCCAAATTCTCATTAATCAGTTTTTAATTGCTGGATTCTTCTACATTCAAGATACGTGTATACAGAATTTTGCTGGTGACAATGGACTATGCATTCAGTTTTGATCATTTGATACAATACATTTCAGGATGTAGCTCTTAAGAAATAACAATGTTTGGGGTGGGCTTGGGTGATTTTCTTCTGATCTGAACAGTTAGGAAATACTGCTAGGCCTTGTGGCATTTCTGTTATGAGGTCTTGTTCTCTCCTGTGATTTTCAGCATTTGCATAAAGCCATTGAATGCACGCATTTGGGAATTTGGAGTGTGGTGTTATCAGTACACTGATGAGACCCAACTCTTTTGCTCCTTTACATCTGATTCAGGCAATCAGTGCTTATGCTACATTGCTTCCTGGCCTCAGAAATGGGCTAGATGTAGACTGATAACATGAAGCATAACTGGATAAGACAAAATTACTATTGGTTGCTTGTTCAATTTTTGGGGAGATGGCATATTCAACCTGTTCTAATGGAGCAGTTTCACAGTCTGGGTGCTCTGCTCTGTTTGAGCCAGACTTTGTATTAGGCAAATCAAGAGGCAGATCCAACAGGCAGAGCATTAAGCAGGCAAACAGTCAAGCACAGTTGTATTAGTCCAGTGTAGAATCAGTTTAAGGCAGAAATAATCAAGATGCAGGCAGTGGGCAGAGGATATTACTAGGTAAGTATGTAGTTTCCAGAAGAAAAGTCTGAGTTACAGCTGAGGTCCAAATACACGAGAGCAGTTAAACAAGAATACCTTTCAAAGCATAGAGACAAATGAGCCTGGAGGTTGGTGGCACAGAGGTTCAATCACAAGGTAAGGCAGGCATGCATGAAACTGGAGCTAAAAGAAAAGCATTATTTCTAACAGTGAGTTCTGATTGAAGGTGTAGATAACCAGAACTTCCAGAGCCCCTACTCAGTGTTCAACTACTCATGAGCAGGGCCTCATTATAATGAGCATTAGAGAGCCCTGTGGGCTATGGGGCAGTATAAAATGTAAATAAATAAATCAATGAAAGTGTTATCTACCTGATCCTAATTTCGTATCCTACGATATAATCCAAGACTAAACCACATTCTTTTGGTTCTGATACAGTTGAAAACTGTAGTATAGCATAAACTGGAAAAGCTGAACCTGGTACTGAAGAGAGCATAGAAGACAGAGGAGGACCCACATAGCCACAACTCCTGTTCTTGGTTTAATAAACCAGACTTCTGAGTAATGAATTTACTAAAATTATCATGATAAATAACATTTAAACTTGGGAAAAATAACTTTGTTTAACTTCCATTCATCTGACTGGAAAAATCTATTGTCAATGCAGCAAAGATAAATTTCCAGTGAATTGTGTCAAAGGGCTTTTTGGCAAAGAAGCAATGTTTTATCAGCCTTATAAGCAACAAAATCAATAGCTAATCTAAGACAATTGGCATGGCTAAGGTTAGGGTTAGGGTTAGAAAAACAACGGTCCCAGTGATGTTTAAGCAGCCTGGAATGTGCTTAGCATGGCCAAAGAAGTTGACTGTGCAGAAAAATATCTACCTACTGGCATTTTGGGAAATGTATTCCAGGAATGGCAATTCGGCATAAAAAGAATGTTCGGGTTAAGGTCCAGGTTAGGGTTAGGGTTAGAAAAACAACAGTACCAATGATGCTAATGCAGCCTGGGATGTGCTTAGTGTGGCCAAAGAAGGTGACCTGTGCAGAAAAATCCACTCTTACTGCTACTTTTGGAAATGTATTCCAGGCATGGCAAGTCAGCATGAAAAGAAGGTTAGGGTTAAGGTCTAGGTTAAGGTTAACGTTAGAAAAATGCTGGTCGCAATGATTCTTATGAGGCCTGGATTGTGTTTAGCATGGGCACAGAATGTGAGCTGAACTGAAAAATCCTCACCTACTGGCATTGTATACCACTGAATTAGAAATGCATCTGGAGTATGTGATTTCTCAGGCTGTTTCCAGGCATGATCATGTTGGCCTAAAAATAGGGTTAAGGTTATGTTCCAGGTTAGGGTTAGAAAAACGACAGTACTGATGATGCTTACGCTTTCTGGAATGTGCAGAAAGATACCCAGCTACTGTCATTTTGCAAAATCCGCTTCCTGGCATGGCCATTTTGGTCCTAAAATAGGGTTAGGGTTAAGGTTCAGGTTGGGGTTAGAGTTAGAAAAATGGCAGTACTTACGATATTTATGTGGCCTGAGAAGTGCTGAGAATTGGCAAAGAAGCTGAGCTATGCAAAAAAAATACCCACCTGCTAGCATTTTGTAAAATCACTTTCCTGGCATGGCCATGTTGGCCCAAAAATAGGATTAAGGTTAAGTTCTAGGTTAGAGTTAGTGTTAGACAAACGACGGTCCCGATGATGCTTATGCAGCCTGGAATGTGCTTAGCATTCCCAAAGTAGCTGAGCTGTGCAAAAAACCCCACTTACTGCAATTTTGGGAAATTTTTGAAATTCAGAAAAAACAGTCATAAAATGGAGTGGTATCATAATCCATTTGAAGTCAGGGAAAACCTGGATAAACAAATATGTCTTCAAGAGCTTCATGTATTACAAGCTCTTGAACAGCACTTCCAGGCAGTGAGTACCACTACTAAGAAGGTCCTCTTAACATGCTTGCCAATACTCTGCTGGTCATGGAAACTTGGAAGATCATGGGGATTGAATATTGGAAGATGGTCAGCTAGATATTCCAGTCCCAAATTGTTTAGGGCTTTGGATGGCAAAAACAAAACTTTGAGCATAGTTTTGCAAGATATAGTCAGCTAGTGCCGTCCTTTTAAGCATAGGTTTAATGTATGTATAGTGTGGCACTTCATTAAGCATCTTTGGCTGGATTCTCTTCCTCTCTGTCCTGGAATTCTGCCCACAGGGATGTCAACAGGAATGTTAATGATAGATGGCCCTGTGGTGGAGGAGAGAGGAGTCCAGCAGAGCAGGCTGTTGAGGTACAGGAGCCAGTGACATCCAAGTTCAGCTAATGCAATGCACTCTATATGGGGCTGTCTTTAAATATGGTCTGGAAACTTCAACTGGTGCTGGTGCATTTCCAGCCCAGTTCAAAATACTGATGAAACCATGAAATAGTTTGGATCCTAGTTACCTGAAGGGCCATCTTAACATCTTGCTGACATTTATAGACCAGCATCTTATATGTTATTCTCATCATTACACTGCATTAATAACTTGCCCCTCTTTCTCTTACAAGGGACCCAAGGCAGCTTACAAGTTTCTCCTTCTCACAGCTACAACCCTGGGAGGTAGGATAGGCTGACTGATGCAAAGTCACCCAGTGAACTTCACTGCTGAGTGGGCTTAGAAGCCCGATCTCCTGAGACCTAATTCAGTACTTTGACAACACACCACAATGGCTTATATATTTTGTATATTTATATGTTGGAAACTACCTCAGAAGTGTTTTTCCCCTAAAAGGTGGCTCACAAATATTTTAATATTTATATTTTAAATAAATAAAAGCAGGATTTGAATATGTAACTGCAAGTATTGCAGTTGAATATGTAATCTGAAGACTCTTGGATGTGGTCCCAGATGGAAGGCTGGGCTACTACTTGAATAGAATTGGCTCATGCTGCTCGCATGATATCTAAATATAGCTGCTTTCAGATTGGGAAGCTTTGTAAGTGTGGCAAGGAGGTGCAAGCAAATAGGAAACTCTAGGCCAGCACCTGAGGTTTGACCCCAGGGAAGAAGTAACAGCAGGCAGCAGGTGAGGACCAAATGGGTTGGCACATGAGCCCTGAGTTACAGTGTCTATTGAGCTCCATGAACGTCTCAAAAATCTGCAGAGTGTTCCAGTGGTGGCATGAGGGCTGAAAGATGTTGCTCAGCAGATTCTGGGACAGAGCGGAGATAGGCTGCTGATACAGAAGGAAAAAACCCATAAATACAACACAATACAACAATAGTAATATTACATACAAAAACTCAATTAATAATTAGAAAAGTAAATAATAAAGTGCTCCCACCACCCCGGAGACCAATACTACCTCCACTTAATTCCCATATTATAGCAATTAATAATATATAATATACTTCAGTTATATCCATATTCCCTCCTGAAATTCATATAATCTTGATTAGGTTTGCAACCTTTACCTTCTATCAGTACTGCTTTCACAAAATCTTCCCAAATTTCCATATATTTATTTGCTTTCATTAATCCTTTTTAATTTTTATTTCTGTTATCAGTTTGTCATTAATTAGCATATTCCATGATACTGCCTTCTCCATGTTCCTCTTGCTCTATATTTTTGCTAGACCTTTTTGGCCACTTAGCTGGGGTAGTTTAGAGGGGAGAGGGAAGGAGGCTGCAGCAGCATCAGGCTACCTCATACTCAGTCGCCTGAGTTCCCCGAAATGCCCATTCTAACACTTCTCCAAGCTTGCACTTCTTGAAGAACAGCAAGTACAGTTGTTTCCACTCCCGCTGTCGGGCTGGGGGGACGACCATCAGCATTCTAGTCCCCAGCTTTGAGATTGGAATGTTGTCTCCAGCCTTGAATGTACCCATGGGCCCTCAGATGTTGTTTAGGGATCATAGGGTCATTTTCTTCATGTATGGATAGTGTTCAGAACTACTGTATTTTCATAATGTCTGTCTGTCTGTTAAAGCATTTATATATCATTTGATTAGCATAATGCTCTCAAAACGGTTTACATAACGTAACTAAAATATACAAAATCCAACAGTTAAAACAATTTAAAACAAATTTGCCTGCAATAAAACATCCCTGTACAATATTTTTTGCAGACATATACAACAACAACACAGTACAGTGCCATAAATAAATAACAACTATTCCACATGTACCAAACTAGAAAATCAACAATATAAATGGTGGGAAAATAAAAGAAAGGTTTTAACCTGGTGTCAGAACATATATAGCATTGTCACCAGGCATATATCTCTGGGGAGCAGATTCCATAAGCAGGGCGGCACAGCTGGGGATCCCTTTCCCCTCATAGCTACCCTCTTTATGTACTTCCTTCAGGGTGGCTCATGGAGAAGGGCCTCCATAGGTGATTGAAGGGTTTGGGTAGGTGTATATGGAAGAAGATGCTCCTTTAGATATCCAGGCCCTAAGCTGTTTAGGGCTTTATACATTAGTATAAGCACCTTAAAGCAAGCCGAGCCTTCAAACTGGTAGCCAGTGATACAGAACTGGGTTGGTATGTTTGCTTCTACTTGTCCTCGTCAATAGATGAGCTGCCCTATTCTGTACTGAAGTTTCTGGATCATTTTCAAGGGCAGCCACACACAGAACACATTGCATTAGTCTAAAAGTGAGGTTACCAGCACATGGATTACCATTGGTAGGTTCTGCCTGTCCAGATAGGGACACCATTGATAAATCAACTGGAATCGATGGCACTTCAGCCCAAACCTCTAATGACCTCTCCCAGTGGGTTCACATAGATGTCGAACAGGATAGAATAGAGCCCTGTGGCACTCCATGATGTAGTGACCTTGGGGCCGAGCTACCACCTTCCAGTGACACCTTCTGGAATTGGCTGGCCAGGTGGGAGCAGAACCATTGCAAAGCAGTGCCTCCAGTTCCCAACCTAACCAGCGTATGCAGAAGGATACCATCATTTATGGTATCAAAATCTGCTGAGTCCAGGAGAACCAACAGGGATGCAGTCCCCCGGTCTTGGAATGGACTTCCATGAGAGGTCGTTGAGGCCCCATTGATGCGGGTGTTTAAGGATAGGCTGGATGTGCACATGGTGGGCATGTCGTGAGCGGAGCTGGCTGGTGCCGGAGGTCAGACTAGATGGCCTGGGAGGCCCCTTCTGACTCGCTCTGTTTCTGTGTTTCTATGTCTTTCACTTGGCAGTGTTCATCCCAGAGGGCAACCAAGTCAGTCCCAAAACCAGGCCTAAAACTGGACTGAGTGCTTGGAGCTGCCCAGCCTCCACCACCATTTTACTCTCTAATCTTCTATTGTATGAATCTTGTTTATTTTGATCATCTGTACTCTGTCTTTAATTCTGCAAATTACCCATTACTAGCATAATCCTATGTAAATTTGAGCTACAAAAGCTTTTCCTGATTTCAGTGGTGGTTTTTGTTGGGAGCTAGGTTCTCCCTTCTCTCCTTCACACTGCAGGGTGTTCTTTGGCAAAAGCTCTTTATTTCGAGTGTACATCCAGCAAACTGTAGTCAGAAAAGAAAGAGTCTCTGAGCATTCATAGAGCAGTTGCTTGAACCTGAACTAGAAACTATTTCCAAGAACCTTCCTTTTGCAAAACCATGGACCCTACTTCTCTGGGAGAGCCTATCTGGAGACAAGCAAGCCTTCTATCCTATGTATGCCCTCTAGTTGGCTAGCCCTTCTCTCATATCATGGGGTCAAGGATTAGACCATATTCCTCTGGCTCCTATGTCTCCTCCTGGCACTTCCCGACTGCTGGTTCCCAAGGTCTGCCTGAAAACCCAGAGATAGTGCCCTTGAGATAAGCTCTGCCTTCTCTGCCATCTCTATGTCTTTAGGCCACCCTTCTCAGCTTTCACCAAGCTCATCCAGAGTTGGTGTCACCCTGGCCCTGAAACATGCGGCAGGAACAATTGTTGCCTTCATTCCCAACAATTGCTTCTCTAGTAACTTTTCCTGTTTAACCAAATTAACAGGGAAGTCCTATGAAAGTTTATTCTTCTTGAGATGAGTATTTTGCAAATAGGTCCCATGAGTTTGTACACTGGATTCCAGACTCAATAAATTTGTTTTAATTAAGTTTTAACAATGTGGGAGACAAGTAAAATAAATTAAAATCTGAATAATGCATACTTATTTCTTTTCCTCAATTTAGCTATCACTATTAATTGCATAAAGAACAATCCTGCTGTAGCCCTCTCCCTGGATAGCAATCCAAGAGGAGTTAGGATGTCATGTACTTGGTTAGTTCTAAGATATATTAGTATCTGTATCTAGTAGCTCTCCAGGAATTGTGCAATAAAACCAGAAATGAAATCCAAAATCCACATTAAAACATTCTCCTAGATGTTTCCCCTGTGCTTCCTAGCTGTTCTCCTCTGTTGCAGGTTAGAGCTGCATATGCTACTTAACCTGTCCTGACCACTGTGAGCTACCTGCCGCCTCCAGTGTAGTTGTACACTCTCTCTCAGAGCCACTACTGAAGTAAGATTCAACTGCAAGTCTGGCTGGCAGAGAATAGAATGGGAAGGGGTGGTATCATGTCCTTGGCCTCAGGCAACAGAATGACTAGGGCCAACACTGAGGAGAATTAGGATTGTGGTCTGTGGCATACATCTTCAGCAAGAGATAGACCTGTAAGCAAGGCCTCAAACATTTTGATTGCAAATGCATCACCTATATCCTTATACCTCTAGGATTAAAATAATTAATCAGGATGAAAAATGAGACTCCTGAAACTCATATGCAAAAATAAGCCTTATTATCTGAATACATTTGTTACCTCTCTTCTCTTTTCTGGTCCCTTTTCAGAGAGCGAAATGCTTTTTCATGATGTTAACTGTATTACTTAGTTCATTGTTGCACTGGATTTATGTTATGTTTATGTTGTGCACTGGATTTATGCTAACCTCCAGACCCTCAAAAGAAACAGTTGCAACAAACCCACAGCTAAAGTTTAGTTGATACCTTAGTACTGGTAGTAGAGGCCCTAGTATTCTCAAGACTGGATTATTGTAATGCACTCTGTGTGGGGCTACTTTGGACAGAATGCAACAGGAAGGTTGCGGACCAGGATGTCTTTTGGACAGTAAATGATGTCCTTGCTAAAACAGTTGCACTGACTGTCAGTAAGCTGCTGGGCCAAGTCTGAGGTGTTGAACAAATTTAAAGAGTGTATTGTTAACCTATAAAACCTTAATTAACTCAGTCATGGGTTACCTTAGCACTTTCCCCTATACATGCCTATCCAAATCTCTGCAGTTACCAGAGGGAGTACCTCTAAGAGTGAAGTTTGCTCCTGAAGTTCGCTTGCAGTAGGACATTTAGTGCTGGAGCACCTACTCTTTGGAATGTTTGACCACTTGACATTAGAGAGGCCCCACCATGCTCATGTTTGGGGGTTCCTTACGGAGGGTTTCCCTAAGTATGACTCAGCCAGGTATGATTTGTAGTGCACAGTAGCATGTGCAGCTTTACTGCTGATTAATTTTGTATTGTGTTGTTCCATTTCGTTGATTACATTCCTATAGCACCCAGTAGCTGAGGCTTTTTGGGCGATTTACAGGGATTTCCATCAATGCTAAAGTGTTGGCTTGGGTCTCAAGAGATCTGGGTTTTAGTCTCCACTTGTCTGTAAGGTTCACTGTGTGACTTTGGGCCAGTCAAACAATCTCAGCTGAATCTACTGCACAGGTTTGTTGTAGTGAGGATAAAATGGAGAGGAAAACCTTGTATGTTGTCTTGGGTTTCTTGCAACAGAAGAAAGGTGGGATATAAATGTAATAATAATTATCAATATAGTCTTAAAATACAGTATAAAAACCATATACATACAAACATGTAAGTATGCAACTCTGTTTAGTGTTGTTTTGTTTCCATTGTGTTTTATGTTCACTGCTTTGATACCTGTGTAGGAAGTGGTACATAAAGTTGAATGATTACTGAATAAATAAAGGCTGATGCAGAAGAACCCTTTACATTATCTTCTCAAAGAACTACCATGTTTCACATTCTTCTGCTGAAATGCTGCCTAATGGACTTCAGACTGAAATTTTTCATGGGGAGCAACAACGCCAAATAACTGTTTTCTTCACATTAACAACTGTTGGGTGTTTTTATTTGAAGGTCTTTATCTAGTTTACCTTTCACTCCCATAACAATTTTTTTCCTTTCTGTATTCATTTACGGCAGCATAGTAAGCAGTTTTGACTGTCAGCGGCATTACAATGAGACTGAATGCAAGCAGTCTGACATAAGTACTTTAGTGATTGATCTGCCAGTGTTCTAAGTTGAATCCTATTGTCCTGACTTGCTGAAACCTGCTTTCCCTGCTGATCTATAAAAACATTGCTTTTTAAAACTGCTGCTAATTAATATGTCAAATTATTCTAGACATCATATGAGACTAGGGAGTTCTGTACAAAATTTATTTTTGACCCAGATGGTTTGAAGTCTGAGATACCAGCTTATAATTCGATCTACTGCTTATACTAAGATAACTTTATTATTATGTAAGAGAATATTGCTAGAATTGCTGGCATGTCATGTACCAAAAGAGTATTTAAAAATCTCTTGCACCGTTTGTATTTTTAATATATCTTTGTTTATAGTTCAGGAGATGTTTTTGCTCTATTTGAAGTAACTTTAGGATGTCTGTTTCTAATCACTTAAGCCTTTCCTTTTTTATAGGTCTTCCTGTGTTTTCAAAGAATTGCGGCTGACCTCCTTGACGTCAAATTAAACAAAGCGGAAATAGAGCAATCGCAGGTGATATTCCTGACTACATTTCTTTTACTAGCTGACATATTTTCTTTGAAAAGTGTGAATTAATAATATATTTTACTTCAAGTTTCTGCAATTTGTATACTTATTTCTAAACTCTGACAGTACCACGTAACACCTCACCCTGCAGTTGAAGAATCTCATTTTTTAATTATCTCTATGTCAAAAATGCCTTATGAATGTCCAAATTTCAGCAGTATCTCTTAAGTTTTTTGGACATGAATAACATTTGTTTGGGATTGCTTACATTCACCAAGTTTAGATATCGATTGTAACAAGTTACTGTTCAGACATTCTCTAAGCATGTTGTTTCAATATCTGAGGAGGCAGAATGTGCCAGCCCTGCTCCCTCACTTGTCACATGTGGCTTGCTGTATGTCTGTGGGCAGCTTGATGAAGAAGACCTCCTGTGTCCTTAGGAGTTTTCCAAGAGATTAAGAACCCTGATCTGCCAGAGTTATTAATTACATGGATAGCTTCCACTGCTAGAGGAGGCACTTCTCTTCAGACATTCTTCCTCCACATGTAGAATGTGTTGGGACTCCCTTTCTTCATGCGTTGCTTCTACACCACAAGGACAATAACTGAATAGGGCTAAAGACACAGTTGAATTGTCTCCAGATCATTCAGTAAAATCAGCAGACAAAGGAAGAACTTCACACAGCAGGTAATTGGCTTTTAGCCTAGATGGCCTTCAAAAGAGCCTTAGACATATTCATGAAGATGTCTGTCAATAGCTACTATTCAGTATGGCTGAACTCCAGTACAAGTTGCTGGGAGCAGTATTAGAAGAAGGCTGTTACCTTCATGTCATCTGCTTGACTACTGGGGAAAAGAGGATGCTGGGCTAGGTGGATCTTTCATCTGATCCAACAGAGTTCTGTAAAGGGCTACTTTACTCTAAAGATCTACCTGGCCAAAGTTTGGGTACCCAGTGGAATTTTGGAATGTTCCCACTTTTTTGGCAGGCCTCCCGCCATGCCTTGCTAAAAATAGCTTTTGAAACTTCCTTCAGTGCAAAAGTGGGTTTCTATGCAGTATATGGGGAAGCTGATTGAGAGATGCCTGTCTAACTATTCTTTGACTATGTAGAGTTAAAGCTGCTACAGAAGACAGGAATTGCTTATTTTCTCTCTTCAGAATCCGTCAGAATTTGACTTATTTCTATAATTTATCTATGTATATATTTTAAAAATTCTGTATCATCCTCCTGCAGGGAGCTTGGATTTCATTTCATTCCATTTATTACAGTTCTGTACTACCAAATCACTAAGCTCTTTGGGCAGTTTACAGTGATGCACACACTAAAAATTAAATATAATAATGTAATATAAAATCAATGACATACAAAGAATATAACATTCTTAAACAATAACAATAAGAAGCAACAAACTAACAATTTCAGGCTCACATAGGACATACAATTAATACATTAAAACAACAGGAAAATGGGTGTGCTGTTTGTTAACTTGCATTTAAATTTACTTGCCCTCAATCAAGTAGACTTGTTTATCAGATCAGATGATCCCAGAATCTACTAAGAAACAGAAGCTGAAACTTTGGAGGACTTCTTTGTGCAACTCTCAAGATAGCTGTGCATGTGCATTGTACCAAAAAGGTTCATGTTTTTCTCTGTTAATTGAGGTTACCTTTCTCAAAGTTCAAACTGTTTTAGTCTTGTGCCATGCAATAACTTAAACAGGGGTCACTGGTCTAGTTATTGTATACAAGGTAGGATTAGAACCAGCATTTTGAGGAACAATTAATTTCTTACGAAGTCTAAGAATTCTCTCTTAACTCTAGCAGGGAACATCCTGCACAGAAATTAAGTCATGTGAGGTCAGATAACACTGTTTAAGAACAGATAACACAACTTTTCTGTTAACATTGTCATGGAATTGAGCTTTTCACCTAATGCCATGAGTCTTGGAGGCCAGTGAATCATACCACTTATCTGCCTGTTAAGATAATATAATGTTGATGAGTCAAAAGTCAAGCACAGAACATCAGCAGCTCATAAATTTGGACTCCTTTCCATTTACTTCTATTAACAGTTCTTGTTTAATATAGAGAGATGCTATCTTCAACAAGAAATATTTATACAATCAGGTGATCTATACTAATCTGTGTTTCAGCTTTAAAAACAGCTTGGACATGATTCAACAAAAATAGGTAACAAAAGTCACACTGGTTTCAGTGGAACAATTAGAAATCACTGGGGGTTAAGCACCCACCAGTCATCCCTTTACTGCAGTTTGTGTACAGTTATGCCTTATTCTGCCCATTAATATATTTTGAATTAGATTATAGCTAATTGTGCATGAATGGAGAAATGTTTAAATTTGTCTGAAGCACCTTAAAATGGACACATGAGTGTAAATTGAATACACAGTATATCAGAGGACAGAAAGGATTAGGTAGCATTCCTAAACACATTTACATAGCAAATGTTCTGTAGGGCCATTAGATCTACTTCTAAAAAAGTCTTCTTAAATAAAGGTTAAGGAAACAATAAATTTTCATGCCCCTAAATGGCTCAGGAAAACGTTTTGACTTTTCAGGCATATAATATGGAGCTACAATAATGTGGAGCTACAGTAATTCAGCCTTACAAAGTCTGTCTGCTAAACTGATTCACAGAGTAGACTTAAATTCCTTCATGTTGGCAATTATATTTAGGCATATTTTTCTCTTCTGAAATGAGGAACACTTACACTTGAAACACAGAATCATGTACCTATTATATAGCCATGAGATAAAAATTAGAAAGCGAAGCCAAGCACAATCCACTTGTGAAGTTTCCCACTTGCCTCCCTTCCTAAAACTTTAATATGAATTAATTTTTATTGGTTGCTTTAATTTGTTTGAGCCTTGTTAGTTAATTTTGTTCTTGAGATACACGTGCTTAAGAACACTGAAATGCATCCAATGCATTCCTGAAAACTATAGCCAAAATGCATGTCCTTGCATGTGTACTTGCATGCTCAGAGGTACTACTGCTGAGTTGATTCTCATGTCCTCCAGCTTTGGGTGATCCATCAGCTGCGTCCTTACCTGGACGAGCACTGTCCGGCAACTGTGATACATGCCCTGGTAACTTCCCGATTGGATTATTGTAACACACTCTACGTGGGGCTGCCCTTGAAAACAGCCCAGATATGTCAACTGGTGCAAAATAGAGCTTCCAGATTGCTGTTGGGGGCTGGTCATTATTCTCATATAACGCCAAGTCTTCTATCAGCTGCACTGGCTCCCAGTGGAAGTCCAGGTGCAATTCAAGTGCTGGTATTAACCTATAAAACCCTAAACAGCTTAGGTCCAGAATACCTGAAGGATCGCCTCCTTCCCTATATGCCCCCATGCCCCTTAAGATGGGTGGGGAAGGCCTTGCTCTGGGAACCCTCCTTGAAGGAAGTGCGGAGGGTGTCTACCTGGAGGAGAACCTTCTCCGCAGTGGCGCCCAGACTATGAAATGTGCTTCCCAGAGAGATCTGCCTGGCACTGATATTATAGTCCTTCTGGCGCCAGGTAAAGACGTTTTTGTTTAACCCCCATTTTAACAATTAAGGGTTTTAGATATTTTAAGATTTTCTGTTTCTATTTGTTTCACAGTCGCACTTTCTATTTTAGTTTCCTTTTTTTTCTTAGTTCATATGTTCAATTTTAAATGTTTTGATAATTGTAGTTTTAATATTGTATTTTAGAATTTTATATTATGTAAGCCGTCCTGAGCACTTCCGCGGAAGGATGGGATATAAATGCTTGTAAAAAATAAATAATAAAATGAATAAATGTACACCTGGCATTCTACACTGGTGAAGGAGACCTGTCCTGTGGTGTGAGGTTTGCCTAGCCAACTCTTTGCTATGAATGTTGGAGAAGGTTCTCAAAGGAGATTCTTCTTATGCTTTAAAGCAATAATAGCATACATATCTGCTAAATGGGCATGCTAATCAGTCTGCATGGTGTCTGGCTTGTAATGGCTTTTGTTTGTTGTTCCTGTTTATTTGTATCATCATTTCTGCTTTCCTGAGAGTTGATCTATGTCTTTTTCTTTGTTTTTTTCATTTGCCTCCTTGCTCTGTCCACTGTCTGACATATGGCTGCAGCATGTTGTCAGGGCAGAACTAGTGAAGTATCCCGAAGAAGAAAATCAACAGCACAGCACTGCCAACTATCAGAGTAAAGTCTGTTCAGTGCAGTAGTTCAGGTAGTACAGTAAAAAGGTTCAGTGCATTTACAAAACTGTTACTATTTAATTCATATGAAATAGTTAGTGAGATATTTGTATACTTGCAAGGATGAAGTAATGTAATGTTCTTAGCACAAAACCAGAGAATATTAGGTGGAGTTAATTGGAGCCTAAATTAGTCAATGGCCCATTGATTTCAATAGGGCTTAGTGGGGGATTTGTAATTTTCCATAGCTAGAATTTTCTGTGCTAGATTGAAAGTTTTGCTGAGTTTCAGAGATGACTTCACAGGTGGCATGGAGGAATCACTTGCAGAAGGAGAGACCCAGAAGTCTCACTGCATGTGAGAAGCTTGTTGCCTGCTTAAGTCCTTAGTTGGAAAATTATGGTGTGTAATTGCAGAAGGAAGGTATTATGCTTTCAGACAGCAGTAAGTCACTGATATTACTTCATTTGCAGTGGAGGGAGAGCCCTTTCATGCTACAAAGAGTAGTTTAGTCCATACCTTCTAAACGTCAAACCACTTTGCATCACTTACGAGTTGTATAACAAACAGGTGCTACCTTCAGCTGCCTGTGTCAAGCAGTTGAAGATGATAGGACTGAGCTGTCAGAATGATTTGTGTCTTTAAAATGTAAGCCTATGTTTGTTTATACAGAAAAAGGTCCTATAGCACTCAGCATATGCCTATACCCAGCCGGTATAAGGACTTTTTCTTATGCATAGGATTGAGCTAGTTCAGCATGGTGGTGAGTGTTGGCCCAGAAACCTGAGAGATCTGGGCTGTAGTCCCCACTCATTGGATGACTTTGGGCAGTCACTCACGCTCTGTCTAACTTTCCTCACAGGGTGGTTGTTGGGAGCATTCAGCAGAGTGGAGGATGACAATGTAAATAGATTTGGGTTTTTCATAAGAGGAAAAATGGTGGGATTCATATGCAATGCAATATAATAAATGCCTTGGTATCTATAGGCTCTTCTGGAAGATTGTGTAATTCTCTGAACTGAATTTCAGTGATTCTCTGAGGGTTTTCAAAAGGAAGCATTCTTTTTTAGTCATTGAAACTAGCTTATGGTCACTGAAGATGGATCAAATACTCCAGCTTCAACTGTTCAGACTGCCCTTCAGAACTTTTTCATATAAAGTATCCATTGACACTCTTAGTCTGTTTCCAACTGGCAAACTTCAGTTAAAAAGGCTGTTCTGATAAAATAGCACACCATACTGTCCTTTGAAATGCCTGGTACAGTAATGTGGGCCTCCTGCAAACATGTTTGCTACTTTCTGAACCTCCCCAGTCTCATTTTTCACACTTTTTAGTGATAAAAGTAGAGTACAAGGAGCCAGATACCAGAGAGAAGGAACACATAGTCATTGCAGAGAAATATGAATAGGAATGTACATCTGGAAGTGCATCATTAGTCACATTCTGGCCTGACTAGCTGTGCACAACTGTTAGCATTTAGATTGGTTTAGCACTGGCTGCCAGTAGCATATGGCAAGGCACAAAGCATCACCTGGCAACTGGGGACTCTTCAAAGTGTAAAGTGATGGAGGATGTTATTACCTGGGCAGCTCTGACGATGTGGTACCACTGTGTCACTGTGATCCCTGCTTCACTGTGTTGCAGTGAAGAAAAAGGGAATAGATTCAAAACAGCTGCAAATGTGTGAGAAGGAAAAATTAAAAAAACCCGACAACATAGAGGGGTTTTTGTGTTGCTGGATGAAGTTGTCCTATGCTGCTCAAAAGTTAAGGTTTTGGGGGTCCTCACAAACATCCAGAGTAGTGCCAGCACATACAAAACCTGGCAGAAAGTCTTACAAGCTAGAATCTGTCCCCCCCTTATTTGAAAAGAAGAAATCAATATTTAAATTTGAACTGGTAAATGCTTTCATAATCATTTACTATTCATAAAATTGTGCAATTTGATTCCTTGCAGTACCAAACCTTCATGCATGATTTCTTCAAAAAGAGGACTATACTATATATTCATTCTGACTAGCTCTTTTTAATGCTCCATATTTCACAGCCCAGTCATCAACATGTGAGATGTTTTACTAGCACTTTGGAACAGTGTTTCGTTCGGATTCTCTGCTGTAACCTCTGCTGTTTTTCTTTTCTTTCCCTCTCTCTCTTGACAGAGTGTAGTGAAGGCGGATATTGTAAACTATAGCCAGGATCCCGTGACGAGAACAGTTAACTCTCCTAGAAGCTCAATGTGTACAATTCAGTGAACCTTTTTTCTTTTTTGTATTGATCTCCTTTGGCAGCCCTTTGCACAGTCATAGGGGTTGCCAGGAATGTTGTTTTAACATTGAACATTACTGTAGTGCATTTAGAAGTTTCAAAAACTTACTACCCATTTGTGTGTTCAGAAGCAGCAGGCAGTTTTTTGGCTAGCCAAGATTCAAACATTGGGACCACACACTTTGAAAAATTATCACATATATCTATATTCTTATGAATTATATTTCAGCAAAGGAGTATACACACAAATGTACTTTTACATGCATTATCAGAATATCTGAGTGGGAATGCAAAATGTATACATTGTACAGGTTAAAAAGTGGTGTTTAAAATAAAACTCAAGTGAAAATGTCTCTATTTTCATGCTTGCTTATTCTCCATTTTGCCCTTCCTCTCATTAGAATAACTACAGGAAATTGTCAGTTTTATCCTAGTGTGTTAATGATAAGCAACAAATTGGCCTGTCATTTAGATTCAGTTTTGTTTACTGGTACATCAAACAGTGCATCAAGTCCTCCTCAAAGCAGAAAGGCCCTTGTGCTACCTATAGTTTTATTAATATGGTGATGACTGAAACAAAATCTTGTCAGAGGCAAGTACATTATTTTCAGATTAAACATGTTGCACTTACACAACTATTAATACATATGATAACAAGCTTTCTCCATGAAATAATGCTGTAACCCAGCGTAACATACCAGTTCTGCGAACATACATACCACTACCTGCAAATTCTTTGACCATGCAAACATTTTGTAAAACCTGCTTCCCAGATAGCTAAAGCTTCTCTTAAGAGCCCATAGAACAGCTGTTGAAATGACCTGTTTATTCAAATATGTTTGTTCTCAGAGGCTCACCAGAGTCCAAGCCTAAGAGGCTACCAATTCAGGTTTGTTTTGTCTAGCTACTGGTTAGAATTCTTTTTCATGGTTGATATACGTCTGAAATGAATAAAGAATTACTACATTTTATGTGTCTGGATGCTTTATTTAGTCTGTTATGGCATAGGATCTGTTTCCTGAAACAGCTTAATATCATCCTGTCTACTATTGAGGAAAAGCACAATTCTTTCATATTACTGCAATATTGCGCTTTCTTAATCATTGGATGTATTTGTCCTTGGAACAAACAATAAGTATAGCAAAGTGTGTTGAGAGCAGAGGCAAAGTAAAATATATGAACTCCTCATTTGTATTGTCTGGAGCAGAGCCTTAAATAGAGTATAAACATACGTGCAATCATCTTGATGGGATTCTGGGTGGTATTTGATTTCCATCTTGGAAAAAAACGAAGAGCAATTTCTAGATGTATGATTATATTTGTCAAAGATGAGGCAATGTTTTAGGCTACTTAATGGAAGCATTCTAAAAAAAATGATAGCCCTTTTTCTTCCCTACCTCCCCCCTCCCCCCTTTGGCTTGAGAAAAGTATAAACCAACACAGGCAGAAATGGGTTGCCTGTGCTACTTAGCAATGATTTCTGTGTTATTAGGAACCATTTTTTTCCTTTCCCCTTTTCTAATAAACTGTGGAATAAAGTAATACACTAGAAAAGAAATAAATCCACCCATCCAAAGAGCCACTTTCTAATGTAAGGGACAAAATTGACTTCTGTGGTAGTTTTGTTACTCCTAGAAATACAAATATATTGGCTTCATTTGCATTCATATTAGGGCTTTTATGAATACATGTTATAATTCTGAAAGATTCTAATGTTTGAAGTGCTTATATACCTTGATGTTAAATCTTAAGAGGAGCAACCATCATTCAGAGGCCAAACGTAGGTGTTCCAAAGGTCAGCTTCACAGACTCCAATCCGCTTTGCAGTGGCCCTGAGTGAGTTCCTGGACAGTGCACAGAGTGTGTAGGGAATCAAAGATCACCTGGAATCGAGCCCCACATGCTGCATAAGTAGCGTCGCACTTCCGCACTATGGGTAGCAACTCAAATGGTTGCTGCATGTGGTTCAGAAGGGAGACACAGCTAGTGGTTGCATGGAGCTTCCTCCTCTGTGCCACATGTAGCAGCCATTTGGGGTACTGCATCTGATGTGTAAGAAAGTTGGTAATGGAGGGCTCAGCAGAAACTGGAGCCCTACATGATTGCTACACAAGCAACACAGTTCTCCCACAACACCTAGCGCCCAGCATAACACAAAGCGGCTTTTGTGCTGCTGCATCTAATATGGAAGAAGGTTGCTGGTTGCACAACCTTTATTCTGTATTTGCAGACTTCCTCTCAGCTTGGCTCATTTTGCAGGACCAGGCAGAGCACAAGAGGAAGTCTGTGATTTTTAGATAGATTTTGCTATGGTCTATCCCAGTGCTATTGTATTTTGCGCTTTTCTGCATTTTAGTTTTTTGAGTTGCAAATAGAACACTAGCACAAAAAGTGGGGACTATAAAAGAAAAGAAAAAAAGAATGGAACTTAAGACTTATCCATACATGACAATCATTTACATCAGCCTTAAGAGAAAGGACAGTGAAGGATTTGACATTTAATTTCAGATATTAACGTTAATGTAATCAGCTCACCAAGCATCTGTACAAAATGAATGACTAAAGGGAATATATTCAGGTGTAGCAAGACTACTACAATCCTTCTGAATTTGAAGATTCTGCATCTATAAGTCTGAGAGACAATTTCAGGGAGAACATAACAAATGCCCATCTCTGGCTACTCGGGATGGCATGGGGGAAATCGCTTCCTTGCCACCAGTGGGCAACCAGCCAAAGCCCAGGAAAACTTAGTTGTCACAGGTGGGTGGATTGTACTCAGAATTATTCCCAGACCAATTTCACAAGTCTCATAGTGTGTTCTTCACTGTGTGTGGGGTGTGCATATGGCAACAGTGGTTTTAATCAACAGTTCTTATTAATAAGCTTCTTGATAATGCACAGAGCCCTGTGGTAGGATCAGGATGCATGTTTTTACTCACATCTGAGAAAATGCAGTTCTTCATCTGATCAGTATTTGGAAGGGAACCACAGAATGACAGCTAAGAGTGGCTCTCTCAGCAGAGATTTTAAAATTTCTTTTATGGCAGAGGAAGAGGAAGACCATAACTCTTAGTTGGTGGTTATAATTTACATGTGGAATCTGAATTTTGCAGGTCGCATTTTGCATTTATGTTTTGAAATTTTACAGTGCTAGAGACTCCATATTCAGATATGGAGCAGAACCTCAGTAAAATGAGACTTTGCTTATCCATTGAAATTGAAAGAATTGATATTTTACTTTCATATTGTGGTGAATCTCAGCTACAGCCAGTTAATTTATCTTTGGGAACTGCTGAAAAACATGTCTTTTTAGATTACCGCTAAAGATGTGGCCTTGCCAAAGAGTGGCAAAGTACGAGAACCATCAGAATTACACATTTCTCAACACCATCTGGCATCATTCTTAACTCCTAAGTTAACACCTTCCTTCCCTGGTATTAAGAAAATTCACATGACAAATGTTTAAACTGAAGTTTTAAAGATTACTGCTGGAAGCAATGTCCACTCTGCATCCTCCTATCATTGTATTTTATTGACCTCCCCCCCCCCCCCAACACACACACACTCTCAGGAGTCTCTGGTCCCCTGTGCCCATCCTGCTGCCCTGCCACTGAAATTGCTGCTGGAAGCTGGTGCAACAGCAGCAGTGGAAAAGAAGTGGCAGTTGTCCTTGAAAAGTGATCCATGTGGACTGCATACTTTGTCAGGAAACAAAACTACACTCTCAGGAGACTTTTTGGATCATGATTCCCTCCCTTTATTTTTTTGCTGCTGTGTGGTATAATAAATGGAGGAGGGGTGGAAGCTTCCTGTAGTCTGGGAGCCAACATACTGCACATCCCTTCTCTAAACAAATTCCATCTTTCCTGAATGTCTTTGGGTTTCTCTGGCAACTGTCTGCAGGGAGAGTCACTTCAACCACTCACTTTATTGTTTATTTATACAATGTGTATCCTGCCTTTCTACCAAAATGGTCCGCCAAGTGTCTAGCAACCATTAAACACGGAATCTTGTTTAAAACACAACATAAAGAAAAGTTAAAAGAACACAGGATTTTATAACATATGTATGTTGCATAGCTATGTCCTCCTGCACACATGCCATCCATGCCTCTCCCATAGAAAGGGTCTCCATTTATTTATTTGTTTAATTCTTTCCATTTCTATGTCGCCCCATAACCTGAAGATTCTCTGGGAGGCTCACAAATGTTCCAACATCATAGAATACATGAAATACAATAAAAACAATAAACAGAATAGACAATAAAATAATAAACATTTTATGATAAAATAGAGCCACATGCAACATAATAAATACAGTCAATAAATTAACCAAAGATTAAATTAAAATAAGCAATCCATACCAACATATAAAAGTATAAAGTTAAATCAACCAAAAGCTTGCTTAAATGAAGAAGTTTTCACTTGGTACCTAAGAGAGAGAAGAGGAGGCGCCAGGTGGCTATCCCTGGGGAGTGAATTCCAGAGCCTAGGTGCTCCTGCTGAGAATGCCCTTTGCCTGGCCCTTTCCCCTTGATCTTCCTAGAGAGGGCATTCGGAGGAGTTGTTCCAAAGAGGATCTCAGTGGATGGGTAGAAAGATAATATGGGGATAGGCGCTCCTCAGGCACCCTGGTCCCAAGCCATTTAGGGCTTTATATGTCAAAGACAACACTTCGAATTGGGCCCAGACTGAAACAGGGAGCCAATGCAGCTGAAGGAGGACCAGCGTAATATTGTTCTCACCAGCCAGTCCTCGTAAGCAGCCGCACCACCTTGTTCTGTATTAGTTATAATCTCTGGATTGTTTTCAAAGGTAGCCCAACTTAGAGGACTTTGCAGTAATCCAGGCGAGAGGTTGCCAGTGCATGGGTCACTGTGGCAAGGCTCACTCATCCAAGTAGGAATGTAGCTGAGAAATCAACCAAAGCTGACAGAAGGTGCTCCTGGCCACCGAGTCCACCTGAGAAACTAGGGAGAGAAGTCCAGGAGCACCCTTAAGCTACACACTTTATCCTTTACGAGGAGCACAACCCCATCCAGGGCATGTTGAAAATTCCCTAGTTGGAACGCGGGAGTGCCCACCAACAGGACCTCAGTCTTGTCTGGATTCAGCTTCAGTTTATTAGCCCTCATCCAGCCCGTTACTGGGTTCAGACACTGGTCCAGGACAGCCGCCACTTCACCTGGATCAGATGAAAAAGGTAGAGCTGAGTGTTGTCAGTGTACTGATGACACCTCAGCCCACACCTCTCGATGAGCTCACCCAGCAGTTCCATACAGTGTAGATGTTAAAAAGCACTGGGGAAGAATTGAGCCCTGTAGAACTCCATGGTGCAGTCGCCATGGCACAGAGTGACAGTCTCCCAGCACCACCATCTGGAACTGGTCAGCCAAGTAGGAGTGGAACCACTGCAAAGCAGTGCCTCCTACTCCCAACCTGGCCAGCTGTTCCAGAAGGATACCATGGCTGATGGTAACAAAAGCTGCCGAGAGATCCAGGAGAATCAACAGGGTCACACTCTCCCATCTCTCTTCCAGCAAAGGTCATCCCACAGGGCTACCAAGGCAGTTTCCATCCTGAACCCAGGTTGAAATGGGTCTAGATAATCAGTTTCCTTCAAAAGTGCCTAGGGCTCTATATATGAAAGAAGTGTGTTCCCAGAATTCCTATTACCCTGCCAGTGGCTCCCCTTACCCCTGGAAGGGGTTGTTGACTAGCCCAGGGTCCCTGTGGAGTGCAGATGCTGTAAATTCTTATGTGGATACATGCATATAGGATTATATGGCATCCTGTTCTGTCAGTTCTGTGGATTTTGCATGCCTTTTGTTCCATTGTGTGCTCACTGATGAAACTTGGTTTTGAGCCTTCATATGTATTTGTGCAAATTCACATTTGAATGAAACAGATGCTTATGGAGCTTAGTTTTCTACATCATAAAAGATCGAATTTGAGTATTTACACAGACTTGA